TATATATATATATATATATATATATATATAAGTTAGACTCTGTTCTTATAAAGCTCAATTTATCTATCTTTACTAGTGTCATAATGTTAGAATATCACAAGTCCTTAAATATACTTTTAAGTCAAATGTAGGTCCATCCTTAAAAATAACTATAAATTAAAGATCATTAAATAAATTAGACCTGAGTCATATACCTTTAACAAGATCAAAATAAAACCTATATACCTTATAAAACTTAACTTAGGGTCTCTTTGATAAATGTTTCCAGACCCTAAACTTGATTAATCATTGAGGCAGAATATTTGATTCCGATAATATTCAAACGCAAAAGAATACAATCAAGTATAATTATATTCTGATTTTGTTGAATACATACATGAGCTAATTATGCAAGAAGCAATTCAAAGGAAGTCATATCCGAAGAACATTACAAAGCATGGATTAGCCAATTGGGAGTGAATGACGGCTACATGTTAATTAAATTTTAAAATTGATTAGAAGTTTGGGGTCCATCCATTTTACCCTCTTCAATTTAGTGATTTACACATGTTAACATATCAGTGAAAAAATTACGGGCATCTAATTAGCCACAGTATTATTTAGCTTTAATGAATTCCATGTGCGATTCCTTATATTCTTACACTTTTTTTTCACCGGCATTTTCTGAACTTATTGGTTCATGATAATCTCAAGAAATTTATTAGGTAAAACAGTTAACTTGAGTTATTTGACAAAAATAAAATATTTAATTAACAAACTTGTTTTCGCTGTTTTATAATAATTTTAGATATTAATTGTAAAACAATTAAAACTAAAATTTTGTTATGATTTTTACTTTCAATTTTGTTATTTAATTTTTATTTATTGTCTTTTTATGCTATACTATCTATTTTATAAAATAATTCCATTGTATTAAAATTTATTTTAATTATTATACCATTCATATTTTTAGGAAAAATAAGTCATACACGTAAAGTAATTTTTTACATTATTTTCTATTATAAACTTCTATTTTTATAAGTTGTTAACTTTTATAATAATTAAGTAAAACATTATATTAAAAGTCATAAATGATTGATTGATAATGTAATGTTATTTTACATGTTTGCCACCCATTAAATTCTTTTTAAATTGATCTTTTTTAATAAATGAGTTTTAATGTATCTCATCAATTTCAACTAAGAGTATATGATAAAAACTATAAAAAACGATAATTAACTCAACATGATGTATTAAAAACATAGTGATAACATATAAATTCAAAACTTTGATAAAGTAAAAGTAAAACAACAAAAAAAAAATTCCTTTAAAAAAAGTAAAATAAAGGAGCCTAATCAAGATCTTGTACTATCTCATCAATATTATCATCTTGAGCATCATCAACATCATGCTCAAGTTTATATGGCATTGTACAACATCAAAATGTATCATTTATATGAAGAAGAACATAGGAGATGTTCTTATTAAATTGAAACTTGAATGCTTTTACATAGTAAAGTTAAAAGAGAGATTTCAAGAATATATTTTTGATACATTCTTTTAAATATATGATTTTTTATTTTTTAAATTTATTAAAAATTAGAAAATTCCATAACTCTCACACTTCATTTAATAAATCTCACTTATAAACTTGTTGCTTTCAATAGTTTTAATAAAAAAAGTTATGTTAACATAAATGTATTAGAAAATGTAGTTTTATCATTTGTCAAATTAAAAACATTCCAATATTAATGCAAAACATATCGGACAAAAATGTCTTAACAAATCTTTGGTTTAATAACCAAATACTATCCGCTTAAAAAGATTTATACTATCAATAAATAAAAGGTAAACTTCAAACTTCTAACATGTATTTAACAATGTCTCTTATTTTTTTTTCATATTTCAAATGAATAACCTATATCCAACTTATAGTAACTTAATATCAAAATGAAATATATATTTTATCTTAAAATTTTAAATATTATAATTTTTCATCATTTTTATATTTATTTTAATTTTTTTTATTTTCATATCTTTTTGACATATATTTATTTTAATATTTTATTTTAAGTTTTTCAATATATATTTTTATATTTGTTTCAATATTTTTTTTTTAAAAGATTATCGATAGTTAAAAACAATTTTATACTGCTAATATTTAAAATATTTATACAAGTATTAATTATAACATAATATATAATAAAAATATTTATTTATGGTAGAATTTAGTTATGAAAAGTGCATTGTACATATTAAAATAATAGCTTTTTAAAATTGAAAAAACTGACTTGTTCACCTAAAGTTACATGTTGATATCAATTTTATTAATTTAGGTAAATTGTGTTAGTGTAAATTTTAATCGAGACTAATTAGATAATGTATCAAAACATATTAGATGTTTGTTTTTTTCATCCTTAAAATCAATCTAATCTAAATCACAATTTCTCTTAATATTTTATTTTTCTTTTACATTATTAGTATATTTACTATTCACCCAAAACTAAATAAGCATTGTAAATAATTCGATTATTAGACATGTTCATAATCTATGAGACTTATATTCGATATGATTTCTTAACTTATGCATGAATGCATAAGATTGGATTTGACTCAATTACTTAATTTGTACAAGATCTTTGATACTTACTCTAAGTTGACATGACTTAATTTCTTAATCTATGCTCAATTCATGAGATTTCCTCTAATAGATTTTGACATAGTTTCTTGACCTATGCATGCATCACATGTGAGACTTACACTAGGTTAATTTTATCTTTCAAGTTTTAAAGTTAAATAAGTAATATGTCTAATTTTAGTTTATTCTTTTCAACTTTCTGACTCAAAATCGGAGAATATTATATTAAATCCTTAATTAAGATTGATCTATTCGATAAGTGTAATTAAGTGATTGACGAATTACATTATAACCTAAACCCTAAACCTTAAAAATTCACATTATTTATCATAATTTTTTACTAGTAGGTAGCAATAGTTACATATCTCATATCCTAAAATCTGGTAAAGATAAAAAATAATTGATGTGATAAGATAAAATTGCTTTTTATATCATGTATAGATGGATAAGATAATGAAAGAGAAAAATAACATTAGACAGGAAGATAAATAATAGAGGTTAAGAAGAAGTGGATAATTTGACGTGATAATGATAGTGTTAGAAATAGAATTTAGAAAAGAAAAATGGAAGGTTTTTGACGTCAAAATAAGTGTCCGAAAGCAAAGATGAGAAGGGTGTGCAGGAACTAGGAAGAGGGGAAGCCCATACCCCAAAATGAAAGCCAAAGCCAAAACCAATCAATCCATCAATCAAAGCGTCCTTATCACATTCTGCACAACGCTCTCTCATGTCTCATCTGTCAACGTGGGACCCACTCTGCTCTAACACCGTCGCCATTAGTCTGTACTTTGTTTCCACTCTCTCCATAATAAAACCCCAAACCCCAAACCCTTTTTTCTTTATTAAAATAACCCTTTCTTTCTCCAACCTTCTCACAATCTTACCACGTCATCAAACTACTTCCAACATTCACCTTTCAACCCACCAACATGTTCTCAAAGCTTCATCCAACACAACAACAACAACAACAACAACAGCATCAACTTTTTCAATTCTCCCGGGAATGTCAAACGCCCGACGACCACCACGCCCGCCCCAACGCCGCCTCCGCCTCCGCCAGCGACGGGGCCACAATTGAAGTGGTCAGGCGGCCCAGGGGCCGCCCTCCCGGCTCCAAAAACAAGCCCAAACCTCCGCTCGTTATAACCCGGGAGCCCGAGCCCGCTATGAGCCCATTCATTTTAGAAATCCCGGGCGGGAGCGACGTGGTCGAGGCCCTGGCCCGGTTCAGCCGCAGAAAGAACACGGGCCTATGCGTCCTGTCCGGTTCGGGAACCGTCGCCAACGTCACTCTCCGTCAACCCTCCGTCACTCCCGGCGCCACCGTCACTTTCCACGGCCGCTTCGATGTCCTCTCCCTCTCCGCCACGCTCCTCCTCCAAGCCTCGCCGGCGATCGCGCCCTCCGCCTTCGCCGTCTCGCTCGCCGGCCCGCAGGGCCAGATCGTCGGCGGACTCGTCGTCGGGAGGCTCACCGCCGCCGGGACGGTGTTCGTGATCGCCGCGTCGTTCAACAACCCGTCGTTTCACCGGCTGTCCTCGGAGGAGGAGGCGCAGAACAACTCGCCGTCCGGCGGCGGAGGCGAGTCTCCGGCGGTTTCGGGCGGCGGCGCGGAGAGCGGGCATGTCCCCGCTGAGTCGTGTATGTACAGCTGTCACCTTCCTTCGGATGTGATTTGGCCTCCTACCGCTAGAGCACCTTTCTGATCATATCAATTCTTAATTCGACGTTGTTGTGAATTTTGCTTCGTTAATTGTTTGTTTTGTTCTCTTTCTTCAGTGGTCTAGTTGTAATGGAATGCTGCTGTTAGCTTATTTAGCTCTAGTTCCCAATAGAAAATACCCGTTCATTTAGATTTTCAGTAATACTTCTTGCATTATTTTTATCCTTACTCTCTTTCTTGCTAGCTGTCATTATCGTTTTGCTTCACACACAAGTTAATTCTATATGATTCAATTTGTTAAAACTTCATTCATGTTAAACCTAATCCTGATTTCAATAAACCAATGTTCTGTTTTCTGAGCTCCCATTTATTCCTTGTCGTGTTATTTACTGTGGTTTAGTTTGTTGGTACTAAATTATTCAAGTAATACAACTGAAAATAAAAAATAATGTATTTATTGAGAGGATGGATTATTGAGTATTAAAAAGTGATATATTTGGTATGTTACTTAATGGGTGTGGAAAAAATTTAGACTTTTTACTGTAGAACGGAAAAAGTAATTAACCACCTTTTATAATCTTAAAAAAATAAGATGAGACGTTAAAAAATATAAGAAATTAAAGTAACCTATAAGTAGGGTTTATTTGGGTTATATATATTAGATTAGATGGAATAAATTTATTAGTTGAATTTGAGTATAGTTTAGTTGAATATAGTACGTGAAACGTGGAGAATGGAAGTTTGTGGTGGGCATGGGGCATGGGGCATGGGGCATTGCATAATGCATAGTGGGTTATGGTGGTGGTGGCAGTGGCAGTGGATGAAGATAACGCAGAGAAGAGGGTATAGGGTGCAAGTTGTTGATGATGAAAGAGTTTCTTGATTTGGAAAAAGTGTATGGCAGTGGAGAACGTGGAAAGGAAAGGAAAGGAAAGGAGAGGGTTTCTAACATATCATCTCTTGTTTGTTCCTTGTGCTTGTGTGTCCACTACGGATTTATGCCTCATCTTTCTTCTGTACTTCTTTTGTCTCTTTCCCTCATTGAAAAGTAATTTCCCTCATTGAAAAGTAAAAGAAGCCAAGTGTGTAACTCGCAATTCAACACTTGCTTCTCCCACTGTGTCTTCTCTTTATTGCATCATCGCGGTGGAAGCTTATTCTCAACGCGGATGCCTGATGGAACTCTAAATTCCAAAACGATGACGTTGAACTGTCTTCGTAATTCAACTCATGATGGGGTCCCATTTTTTTTCGTGCGGTGAATGGATTTTCCTATTAATTTCACATACACCAAAGCCTGGTTTTCTTTTTGGAGTTTTAACAGTGTCAGTGACGTTGCTATTATCCATTTTCACATCGATGCTTCTTCATCAGACACCTTTACACATACAAGTCTTCGGTTTTGCCAATCTTTTACAGATTCAAATTATGATCATTGTAGTATAGTGGATCCGTGTTCCTATTTTATGCCGCCATGTTTCTTTACGAGAAAATTAATTACTATCATTTCGTGGTCTCACCAATCATTTAGTATTTTGTTACAGTTTATTGTTTGGGGTTTGTTTTCCTTATTTTAAGTACTGATTACATTTTTTTTTTGGTTTTATCTTCATCATGAAATATGTATGATTTATTTATTTTTAATAATGGAGGATGAGTAATGAGTGGAAAAGTGTTGCCTTTGTCTATTAATCTAAATCGATTATACTATTAACTAATCTGAAAAAATATATATCTACAACGGTTAAATAATGGAGGATGAATAATGAGTGGAAAAGGGTTGTCACTTTTTTATTTTTCCGGATTTTTATATAATTGATTTGTTTTTGGTACAGTAACAGGTTATATAATTGATTTAGAAACTTGCTGTAGAATTTATATTTTTTACTAGAACTGGCATATGGGTTGATCTCATTTATTTCAAGAAATTCATTAATAATGTGCTTGGATGAAAAATTTAAATGAAATAATTCATTTATTTGAAGAATTTCAAATTTTTTGAGGTGAAATACCTGTTTAGATGGAGGATTTATAAGAAATTTAAAATTCAAGTATTTGTGAGATTACTTGAAATAGTAGAATGTCAAATTCTCTAAAAAAAAGTAAAAATTTAAAATTTTTTATTTTATTTTTCTTCTTATTTCACTTATATATTTTATCTTATCTCTTATCACTTTATATTTTAATTATTAAATATTTAAAAATAATTTTAAAATTATTAAATATTTAAAAATGAGCTAATATTTATTTTTATAAAATTTAATTTAAAAAT